ATACTGGTACACACACTCTTGGAGCATTTCCCTCTCTTTGTCTCTCTCGCAGTCACAGCTGTATGTTTATGAGTGTGTCAGCCTGTTTTTATCTGGCTCGCGCATTGAATGTGTGTTAATGTGTGTGTGCCTTTGTGTGCGGCTCCATACGTCCTCTATAGGAGCTGGTAGGAGGCTGATCTGCTGCAGAGCTGAACGACCGCTCAGCTTCATTGTTCCACGTCTGCGGTTCCTGTCTGTTGTCCCTCCTCGTCTCTTCTTTTTTCTTGTCTTCTGCTTTCTGTTGTCTTCTCTTTGTCTTCTTCTCAGTGTCCTTCTCCTTCCATTCTTCTTCTTTGTCTTCTTCTTTTCCTTTTCTTTATGTTCTCCTCCTTTTTGTCATCTCTTATGTTTTTTGTCCTCCTTCCTCTGTTCTTTCTGTCTAATTCTCTGTTGTCTTTTTTTCTGTTTGTGTCCTTACTTATCATCTTCTCTGTTATCTCCACTCTTTTGTCCTCTTCTCTGTCTTTCTCTCCTTTCTGTTTTGTCTTTTTTCCTCTTCTCTGTCTTCTCCTTTCTGTTTTGTCTTTTTTCCTCTTCTCTTGTCCTCTTTTCTCTTTGTTCTCTCCTTCGTTGTCTGTCTTTCTCTTTGTTCTTGTCTTCTTCTGTCCTCCTTGCTTTTATTCTCTGTGTCCTGCTCTCTCTAATCCTGTTTTGTTTTCTTTTTCTCTCATTTTGTCCTCTTCCCTCCGTCTCTTGTCTATTGTCCTCACCTCTGTTGTCTTTTCTTCTTCTCGTCTCCTTTGTCCTCATTTTTTTCTCTTTTTTGTCCTCGTCTTTCTTTGTTCTCTTCTTCTTTGTCCTCTTCCCTTCTTTTCTTTTCCATTGTCCTCGTCTCTGTTGTTCTTTTTTGTCCACTTCCCTCCTAATTTGTCCTCTTCTCTTTTCTCTTTGTTGATTACTTTTCCTCTTTTCTTTTTCCTTGCCATCTCTTCTTCTATATGTCCTGCTCCACATTCCTCTCCTTTGTCTTCATCTCTTGTCTTCTGTTTGTCCTTTTGTTCCTCTTCTCTCTTTTCGTTTTTCCTCCTCTCTCTTCCTCGTTTCTATTGTCCTCCTCTCCTCTCTTTCCACTCCTCTCTTATCCTCTCATTCTTTTTCTCCTCTGGGTGAGATATTACCTCTGTGATACGTTGTGACAGTGACGTTAATGGAAGCACTGTACATTTAACGACCTATATCTCCGGAAATTCCTCTGCCACTTCTTATTGCTCACACACACAAACACACACACACACACACACACACAGAGACACACACATACACCTAAAACAATACAAAACACAATCAGTGCAGCACATACAGGTCTTTACACCTGTAAACACAGCAGATATGTGTTTCGTTCGATTAATAAGATTATTGGATCATGTGTTTATCCGAGTGTGTTTATGTGTGTGTAGGTGTGTGTGTGTGTGTGTGTGTGTGTGTGTGTGTGTGTCAGGGGACACATGTCGTTTAACTCGCTGTGACTCTCACTGGGATGTGTGTGCGGTGTGATGTGACACAACTGTCAACAGCACAACAAAAGAGCGAGGGAGTTGTTGAGCCGGGAAGTGGGGGTGAGAAGGAGTAAGTGAGCAGAAGAGAGTGAGCAGGGATGGAGATGATGAGCGGAAAAAATGATGAATAAGAGGATGAAAGAGAGATGAGAACGGGTTGTGTGAGCAAGGCAGGACAGACGGAGGAAGAAAGTACAAACAGAACAAAGGGAAACTATATGAACGGATTATTAACAGTACACTGGTAGAGAGGCTGTATGTGCCATGATATGGATTTGACTAAACTGGAAGGATATACATTACACTGTATAATAAGGCGACATCAAACAACAAAGAAAAAAAAGGTTCAAAGTGTTAGCAAATCTGCTTTTGAATTCAAATCCTTTTGTCTTCCTCACGGACTCTCACATTGAATTTATGGGTTTCTTAAACAGAAAAACATATAAAACATAGTATTTGTAGTAGAGAGGAGTCCATTTTTTCTTTAACTCTTCTCCACTCTACATTCCCACAGTTACAGACACTTATACCGTCAATAAGAGAGATGTTGTACATGAAAGCCTTCTGTTGACAGTGGAAACCATTAGTTGATTAATTAGTCACAGAGAATGAATTTCCAATGTGTTGGTTCCAGGTTCTCCAGTGTGAGGTGTTTGTGCTTTTCCTGATTTTATATGATAGTTACCTGAATGTCTTTGGGTTTTGGACTGTTTGTCAGACTATACAAAGACATGTCACCATGGGCTGTTTTTAGTATTTTCTTATATTTTATAAAGCAAACTCTTAATGTCAGATTCAGTTTGTTGCGGCCCTACTTCCAGTGGTTCAATAGGCGTCCTCCTCACTTTCATATGTGTTAATATTTTAATGTGAAATATTTGTAGAAAGTGTTGAGTTTCATTGACCGTAGCGTAACACAAAAAACGACTTAAATTAGAGGATTAAAACTGTATTTTTTATAAGAAAAACTCAGAGCACTCATTGCATTAATAGAAATGGTATTGTGGAAGTTAATGTTATGCATAATTTACCTTGTGAGCCATAATAGTACAGCTAGCGCCACCCTGTTCAGGCCTTTATTTGTGCATACTTGGCCATTATTTGAATAACAACTTTTATTTTATAATTTACAATGTATTTCTGAAGAATGTAGCAGCTTGTTCTCATTCCCTGGTTGTCAAATACAGAAGCTTTGTAGCCTTGGCATCTCATAGGCACATCTGTTTGAGACACACCAGGCTTCTATGTTAAGACAGTCCACACCTGGAGGTGTTGGGGTGGATGGATGACTCATAAAAACAAAGGACTTTCACCCAGGAGACCAGGGTTTCTGTTAAGTTATTTTAAGTTTTAAGTTACATAAATTATGTTACATGTGTCCATGACTTGCGGCAGAACTTACGTTGTGTGATTTATGTAACTTAACGTAGTTATTTCAACCCAAGCCATAATTTTTTCCGAAACTTCATCTAGTAGTTTTGGTGCCTAAACCTAACCAAACTGCGATTACCTCGTGTTAAAAAGGCTGTAGATCTTTGGCTGAAAAGGCACGTGTGATATATGTGCAGGACAAATTTCGGAAGGCAATCCTGTATGCAGACGATGTTTCGTTCTTTATCCCACTTGTGCAGCACTTTAACACAAAACCTACCAAACAATTCCAACAAACTACTATATATATATGTGAAATTAGCTACCCTACACTACACTATGCTATGTCTTGCCTGTTTATCCATTAATAGCATGTGTATGGTTCTTTTATGTCAAGCTGTGTTGACCTTTGAGAAGTAAAATGACCCGCTGATGCAGTATTCTCCAATTTGTATAGTATAGTGTAAATTTTCTGATTGATTCAGATTTTTTAGTAGACAAGAGAAGACGGTCAAATTAACATCCTACGCAACGGAATTTCCAACTGGATTACATTACTTTGTCACACAAGGAGAAAACATGGGTGATCTAGACAGGAGAAGCTAATAATTAATAAATTACATTAAATAATATACATCATTTAATGTTGGTGCCTAAGAACATTGCCTAAGTTCTTTTTTCTGTCAGTTATTGGTGCTTATACAGTATAAATGTAAGGTTGGAGTGGAAAAAACTGATGCACTACTTTGTTCACTGTGTTTTGATTTGAGTTACAGTGTTTCCACAACTCAAACTTCAACTTCAACTTCAATGCCACATTGTGTCCTTGACTTCACATGTTGAAAATATAGGATGTAAGAGTATGAATGTGACAGAGAAACTGGGATTCCATCATACCTCCATCAACTTCCACTCCCCTGTTTCTGTTCTGTTCTCTGTTCTCCACCACCACAGTGCATTCTGCATTAGCTGAGCAATTTGCATAGTAACCCTTAATTGGTAAATTCTCTCTTTCCTCTATCTAATTGATTCCCAATAGTGGATGTTATGACAGCTGCCGCTGCAGCTTGTGGGACTATAATCAAATCCCACATGTTGCTTAACCTTTTACTTCCACTCCAGCTGATTAACTACTGTCAGGCAGCACATGCATGATATTTAAATTTTGTGAATATTTTCATGGTCAGTTTGGCCGCTCCTGATACATATAGTATCAGTGCAATAAAACCACATGTCTTGTTTCCAGCAGGGGAATTTGCCTGCTGCTCTAATGCTTGATGTTTTATTTCATCTTAACTTTCACATGAAATTGTGTTGCAACAGAAAAAATCTGGGCTGAACATGTTTCCCTGTGTACGTAAATAGAAATGTGTGTGTGGTGTTTGTCATGCCATCAGCCTGTGGCATGTAAAGTTTTGACCTGAGCATGAACTCAACGCTGACATTTAAAATGTCTCTATCCTGCTGTGTGTGTGTGTGTGTGTGTGTGTGTGTGTGTGTGTGTGTGTTATGGTTATTCAGACAGCAGTACACACTTCCTGGAGGGCACAGCCACACACACACAGCCTCACACATTCTCTGGGTTTATCTGTGTATGTGGATGAATAGCAGAAATAGCTGAGAAAATATTTTTGGTCTTGCTGGTTTAATAACTGAGGAAAGAATTTGAATTATTCTTCAGAACTGTTCGGCAGCTTTTAACAGCTTTTTTTTTATTTCTTGCTTTTTGCTTTTTATTTTTTTCATTCAATGTGATTTAGCACAATGTTACTATGTGTGATATTGACTTCCGAGACAGATGTCTGACGACTTACAGATACAATATAAATTAAATACAAATAAAAGATTTTTATTTATTCTTTACATAATAATCTCCCACCTTGACTTAGATCTATAGAGTCATTTGTTCCAGTTGAGTAAAACTTTCCTTCTAAAATAATTAGTTTATGCAAAGCACAGAAGGCAGGCACATTAAAAGTTAATGTTGTTTATTGTACATCATTAATAAATAAATAGTTGGGGGACGCTTGGTTGTTGTTTTATGTGAATTAATAAAAAATAATAATCTCTCTTTCTCTCTTTGTCTCTCAGGTGTGGAGGCGGAGCTTCTGTCTGAAGCGGCTCCTGTGGTCGTTTGGAGACTCATCGAAGCCATCGAGAAACACGGTGAGAGAATACAGACAACTGTAGCGATCATATTTGTTAGACGAGGGGTACTCAGCCTGGGGTTGCAAAATGACAGGAGACCAGTTAAAGCTGCTGTAGGTAACTTTTACAAAAAAAATAACTCTCATATTAGCTGGAACTTTCACTATATTCTTACAGTAGAACATTAGACAGATAATCCATCAGGCCTGAACGAAAACAACCAATCAGAGCCAAGAAAGATAGCTGATTGTTGAGTCTCATTCCCATGTTGTCAAATACTGATGCTGGGAATGAGTCAATTCAGGCCTCATGCATTCTTGCAAATGCCATTAGGAGCACTAGGAAGAGCCACAGGAACCAGATTTTTTCATAGATTATCTATCTCGTGTACTTCTGTCCAGATATAGTGGAAGTTCACATAAAATGTACCTACTGCAGCTTTAACAAACATTGATAATATTTTTCTGCATGTTTTGACTGTCAAAGGCAGGTAATATTAGTAACCTTGCATCGTTGTTTGGCAAAGCGGTTTATGATTGGTATGAGGGCAAAATGAAATGCACACAGCACAGATTGCTGATGGGCAAAGTCCCAAGTAACAGCTGAACGGACACTGGCTCTGAAAACGGTGCTCCACAAACCAGTTGGGGGAAGTCACAATAGGTTTACACTTGCTACTGGCACCATTTTATCAAACTTGGAAACTTAACTGGACGACAAGACTTCAGGAAACAGCACACAGCTATATCCCCATGCTGCTAATCTTTTTGCTAAACTAGGCTAACAATATCTTGAATCCAGCTCCTTATGTAACAAACAGACAGATTAATATCCATGTTCTCATTTCACTATTACATCAACAGTATTTCATTTCTAAAGTGGCTTATAAGTAAGAACACCTCAGCTTCCTCTCACATAAGGAATAAATGTTATATTTTCACCCTCTGAGGGCAGCAGGTGATGCATTGTTTAATTCAGCTGGAGCAAATGAAAAATGTAATTTAACACAGCATCAGTAACCTGGAGCCATAATAGCAGACTTTACATCATTTGTAAAGCATAATATATACATCTTATATATGTCTGTCATAGCCTAAAGGAACAATGTTTCCAGGCTGACACCCAGCAATTCACTAAGCTGACGTCTCACCCCTCTCTTCTACTGTGTTTGTTCTTTGTGCAGGTTTGAACAGTGAGTCTCTGTATCGAGCTCCTCCAGCCTCCAGTGGACCTGCAGAGCTGCGTCAGGCTCTGGACTCAGGTACACACACGAAATTAATCAAAATTAATTAATTGAAGAAGAGAAATTGAATCAGATGTCAGGGTTTGCTACATTTCTCTGTTCATAAGAGACTGAATTGAGATTGGAACTGTTGGTCGGGTAAAACAAGCAACCTAAAGATGATGTCTTCGGCTCAGAAAACTTCTGATGGGCTCAGTTATCTCCCTCTGACCATCAGTACTTTGACACAATTAACTGCTTCTGGATTCTTATGTGGAGTTTTATTATAAATGCAAAGGCTTCAGTTTAATTTACAGATAAAATTTTATGATGGTATAATATGAAGGACGGATGTTAACATACGGTATATTAGTTTTTCTTAAAATTTCAATATAAATGCTTCTAAAGGGGTAAATCACCGTTATGGCAACTGCATGGTAGCTAAAGTACTCTTAACTGTATTATTAGGACAGATTTCCCATAGTACAAGGTATTTTAAGAATATTTATTGTGTCATTTGAAGACAGAGGAAAGCCAGCTCGGGGATGGTTAAGAAAGTTATTATACAGTCTATAGTTAAAGATCATCTTTACACGCCTGCGTGGACACCCAATGTCTCTACAGAGAAACACAAAGATAAGAAATGAGTGTTTGTGGTTTCACCATAAGACCACGAGCCAAATCAAAGATTTGTGAAGCAGCTCATTAAAATATATCTGTTTTATGAGGCACTATTTGTCCTAGAGCACTGCGTAAAGAGTTATTGAAAAAAATGAAGTCAGATTTTTGAAATTCTTTAAATCTATTGCGCAAACACACCTTTACTCATGTGGACCAATATTTGGTGCTTAAAATTCATTCAAAATTCAAGTCTTTAGACGGATACACAAACCTACCAATTAGGCATGCTGTAAGGCAGACGACACTATAGATATTAATGAAAACATTGCAAAAACGCACCGGTGTGTGCGCCAACCACAGATGGTTAATCTGTGTGAACTGAACTTTGAGCTTGGTCTTGACACTGATGGAAGATGCAACTCCTTTTCCTCAGCACAGTATAGTAAAAGTTCTTACCGGTGTCCTTTACTATATTTTTCCACCCCTGTATCATCATGTACAATGTCATACACTCAGAACAGCCCAGAAAGAAGAGAGACAAAGCTGAGCAAATCAGAGTAAAGCCCCTTTCAGACATGCACCTCATTACAGAAACCGGTGATAATTTTAGATGTCGGTCGTGTCTGAATAAGCTCCTGAGGTACATTTACATAAAGGTTGTGGTACCATTCTTACCAGGTTGAGCCGAGTATTTTTTCTGTAAAACTTCCAAGACGTCTCAACTGAATGAAATGCCACAGCAGCCCAAGGTTAGATAGATAGACAGACAGATAGATTGATTTAAAGAAAGAATTTCATGTGCACAAAGAAAATTTTGTTTAACCACAGTGTAAATGCGAGCCTTTTTGGGTTGTAGAGGTCAGATCAGTCTGTAAAAATATGCTTTCAGTTATTTTGTCCTATAGTACAGCACAGGGCAAACAAAAACAAACTTTTTCTTATTACTTTACATTCCTGATTAATTTATGCTGCCATCTCATTTTTTGTCAAAACAAGGTTGTGTTGTTTGAATAAACTTTGTTGGAATTGTAAATGTGTAAGAACCCAGTAATATATGAAGCAACCCATGTCGCAGCCAGTCAACTCATCAGTACGGCACATAAAAGTCACAGGTATGGAGCTATTATTATAGCAAAACTATATACAAACTGTGTCTCAATTGGTGTGTGCGTAATCAGATTTGTAAATGTGTAAAAGAATGTACTGAGATTTGTGAATGTGTACAAGAATCTGCAAATGTGTTTTCAGAATCCGTGTGCACGTAATCCGATTTGGAAATTTGTAAAAAAAAAAATCTACAAATCTGTATTCAGATTTCTGAATATATAGACAAATCTGTAAGTGCTCACGTTTATATTAATAGCTGAAGTATTTGCTCCAAGAGCTGGAAATACAGACAATGCATTGGTTACAACTCAGGCGGGACTCTTAGTTGTTTTTTTTTACACGTTACTTTTGCTTCACTTCAGCCGGGAAAGATCTGCCAATGCGTGTGGCGATTTGTGTGCGAGGAGAGATTTGTCGTTGTGTTTTCGTTACCTTAGAATGAGCAGTTTTTATCTATAGAGGGAGCCTGTTATGGATATAATGTTACACAAACTCCAAGGAAACAAGATTGCCATCAATTATCTGTTTTATTCATCCACAGAATGATTGCAGCGTTCTTAATGTGGTGATTGTCTTGGTTCTGAACAAATAAAAGAATCAAATTACAATTTATCTCCCAAACACATCTTAGATCCTGTCTGTAAATCAAGTATATAAATATTACATCAAATGAATTATATACAATTTTAAATTAAGATTAGCCAGGCATATAATATAATATAACCATAATATTGTTTTACAAATTTAACAATTGACCTTCATGTCCTGTTGCTAACATTGAAGGTTCAAGACACATGGCAAACACCTACAAACACGCATTAAAGTGAAATATGTGGAGACAAAGAGGAGGAAGACACGTATTAAAGGTCCAGTGTATAACATTGAGGAGGAGCTATTAATGGACAATTAAATATTCACAGAGGTAGGTTTGTTATTAGTTTATACATCACCGTGAAGAATAAGCAATTGTTGTGTTTTCGTTACCTTAGAATGAGAGGTTTTTATCTACAGAGGCAGCGGGTCCTTTTCTACGGAGTCCGCCATTTTTAACCGCCATGTTTCTACAGTAGCCCAGAAGCAGGTGTATGTGAAAACATCCTTCTAGTGTCAAAGTCTGCACAGACATCAATCAAACATCAAGAATAAACACTATTGTTTGAGTGTAAGGGGCTTTAAAGATTCTATAGATGTGATTATCTGCCTGCACAGCAACATATTTTGTGGTATTTTTTCAGTTGCAGTAAAAGATTAAGAGTATATCTAGTCTGAGTTCTGTGAATCTCCGCACTGTAGAAGCAATAAATGGCTCATCACCAGCAGCCGAAGCTCTCCTCTTTGTACTTAAACCGAACTCCTGCTGAGAGCGACTCGTATCAAGCTGCTGAGGTTGCAGCCAAAGTCACTCAAGACAAAAAAAGTTTCCAAGTTTGAGTTGCTGAAGTTCAGTTTTTGCACCACCAGGGAGTGCTCTGACTCCGTACTTTATTTTGGGATGGAGGTGGGGTGCTCACAAAATCAGACTCTAGACTCTGAGGATGAGAGAAAGGAGGAAAGGAGAGAGAGAGGGAATGAGGACAAAAACATTAATTATCACCTACAGTTTGATGCTAGTGATTGGAAAAAGGTTATTTAGTGCAGGTAGCCCATTCGTTCTAACCTGCATGGTGTGACATGTACATGAAACAGATTTATGCTGACTCACCGGCACATCAAGTGGAGTCATTAGTCTCTCCATTGTCTCCACTTACAAGAATGATTTGTAGTTTTTGTTCTCACAGTTCAGTGAGACCTTAAAGTAACTTTTCTGCTGTTCAAAGTAATTCATGAACTATTGTTGAGGTCACTTTCACACCTTTGCTTCAGTTCACTTGTACAAGGAAAACAAAGAATCATTGTTTTACAGTGCTGGTCTGTTGTGTTCATACTGGCTTATTACTCTCAGACCAGAGGGGTTTGGGTGGTTTGGTGGTTCCGATGTACCCCCACAGCCCTGTCAGGTGCCCTTCATAAACACCAGTGATGTTCCATTTTAAACGTATTGAACTTTTTTAACAGGCTAAGTCTCCTGGCCATATACAGGTTAATATTATTAGAATATTTTTTCATTTTTCATGTCAGTGTTTCTTTGAACTTTGGATGTTTCCTCTGTTTATACATTTTAATCTAACTTTTTTAAACATATATCCATTATTCTTGGCAATTTCAGCCATTTATCTGTTACTTTTTAGCTATTTTGACAATTTTCATATGACTTCTTCAATCATTTCTACATTTTTTGCTAGAATTTTTGACAATTTATCTGTTAATTTTATCTCCTTCAACCATTTATCCATTACTTTTAGCTAACTATTTAGACTTCTGTGCTCGCTTACTAACTAGTTTTGATGCACTCTCAATTGTAACACCTGGTGTTCAAGGTTTAAAATGTGAATATTTGTGACAGTAAACTGAATATCTTTGGGTTATAGACAAAAAAAAGACATTTGAGGACGTCGAATTGGGCTTTGTGATTGACTTTTTGTTTTACAATTTTCTGACATTTCATGGACCACACCATTCTTCGATTAATGGAGGAAAAAACTGACAGATTGATAGACAATAAAAGTAATCATTAGTTTCAGTCCTAGAATCAAATCCACTGACTGACAGCAGCTCATGCAGCACTGCTCTGCAATTGTGTGTTCATTTGTCTTCTCGGGTGTCACAAAAAGCTCACCAAGAAATAAATGATCATGAGTTTTACTAGTTGAGACTGTAACTGGACCTCATGTCATCAATAATGACTATCAGGTAGAAACAGAATGACAAGAAATGTCTTGTACTGTAATATTCAGGGTGGTCGTTATGTGGAAGAGCTGCCAAAGTTTGGACTTTAATGCCTTTTCACTTTCTGACTGATCTGGGAAAGTTCTTGGCAAATATATTATAAACTTATGGGCTGTCTGCTGCTCTTTAATGAACTTTCACATTCTTATTAGGGAGGAATATGCTTTCCTGGTGCAGCTTTAAACTCCTGACTCATAAAGTAATATTTTTCCAGTTAATGTTTGAAATTCTGAAAATCAGACCTTGGGCTGTATGAACCAGGGAATTCCCGTTTAAGTGTTTTATCCAGAAGATTATTTTGATTAAAGCAGTCAGGATCATAAGACCCAGAATGAGAATAAATGGCTTGTTATGATGGATATTTTTCTGAGTACACGTCCAATTTTCTGCAGAAAAGTCCACTACTCTGCAAATCCAATACAGTGTATCGAACAAGAAGAATAGATTAAGTGTTGAAGAAATCACACACACATGCACATACGAAC